ATAGAAGATGATCTGCTTTAGTTCATTTTCACAGAAAAGCAAACTTAGGGCGTCGTACTCGTAGCGCCATCTGTTGGACATAAAAGCCTTAACCTAGATTATATATTTTAATTTATATGAATGTTTAACGGAATAATATACAGCCTATGTCCACCCTGAGGTTCCATTCTAAATATTGGTGAAAGAATTTTTGAAATCGAATAAGTAGTTTCGGAGATTACCTGCTGCAAACAAAGTTACATACTTACTTACTTACTTACAAAAATACCTCTTTATAATATTAGTATAGATTTAAAAATATATATAAAAAGGGAAATATCACACTTCTGACAATTGCTGCAAGTGTGTGGGTTAAATTTGGAGAATCCATGCTTCTCGCATGGACAACTGTATGTGGCCAGCTCATGCGTTGGAAAACCTTCTGATTTATTCGTGTACACACCAGACGGAAAAACAAAAAATATCGTGTATCCACAAGCACTCAAATAAATAGAATTGAAACGACACTTTGAAATGTTTTCCCGATGAAAATGAATAATAATAAGTTTCAATAAAAATGATAAAATGTAAATTGAATTTTATTATAACGAGTTGGCTTGAATTTTGTTTCTTCTGAGATCGCAGCAATGCGCGACGGGTAAGCTAGTTTATATATAAATGTTTTCAAAGCACATATTATTTTATTGTAAGCACGCCGATTATAGGGGGATTTTATTTCCTTTTGTTGGGGTGGTCTAAGGCCCTCACATATGTGGGTGGCTGTTCTGGAGGCAGGAAACAAGTGTTACAAAAGAAAACCATTTATTTGGTTAAAGGTTATGCTTACATCCAAAAATTGAGTCCTAAAAATAGTATGGAACCTTGATGTTGGTTTCCATCTGTGTTTAATTGATGCTGGATGGGCAGCCCCAGGGCAGCAATGAGATAGTCGAGAATTTGAACTTGTTGAAATTTACGAATTTGAAGTTATTACAGGAGGAGTCAACAATGTTTTCTGTGTGTGCACAACTTAGTTGAGGATGATGACGATTTAGATGACCAAGCCCTTCTGGATTCAACTGACAGATCGAACCCTTGTCCTTGGACACTCGGGCTTATATAAATTTTTTGTTCTCAATTTCCTTTCAGATTGGTTGGCTTTCCAATTGGTCTCTTACCTGTCTCAAGGTAGAATTTGAGACCAAGTTAGGTTGTGAAAAAGGTCTGCCCAGGATGGTTTATCCAACATCATCCTCTCAACTCTGATCGCGATTCATCGATGACTAAGGTACCCATGCTCATATTCCATGTCATCACTTCCTTTTTCTTATTGCATTTTAAGTTTTAAACAATTCCCCCTTTTTATTTTCTTTTATTCTAAATATTGTTTTTTCTCTATTCTTTATGAGCGACAACGTCAAAGTCCGGTGTCATTATCTTGACACTTATTACTTGTTTTCTTAATGGTTTAATTTAGTAAAATATACATTTCATTTTTAATTATAGACTAACTCTGGGGCCTCACATTATACCCAAAGATGTGATTTTATCTTTCTAAAAACAAATTATATAAAATGCCAATGTTACAAAAGCAACAGAATATTTAGGTAATACAGTAGAACCTCGAAAACTCGGCCTAATGTGGACCGAAGGGTGGCCGAGTTTGTGAAAATGCCGGGTTATCGGGAATGGGGTTAAAAAAAATAAGTACGAGTGTTTCCTCAGAAAATACTGTACTGTACTTGTATGTATTGTTTACTTGAGAATACAACAGAGAATAAACTGCCCAAATACCCTTTAAACAAAGGAAAAGTACGTCCTTTATGAAGGCATAGAGCCTTTACTACATGAAAATGAAAATTAATGAATACGCTGTGTACAGTAATTTACCTGATAAGACAGACCTCAGAAAAATACTTAATATGAGAGCTTTTATACTTTTATAAAGCTGTCTATAATGAAAATTAATTAACTAAGGATTTTTTTGCCCTGCCAGGGTGTGGCCGAGTTATCCGGAGTGCCGGGTTTTCGAGGTTCTACTGTACTTTTAAAAGTTTCAGAACATTAACATTTTAATCATGATTTCTATAAGAACAAAGCCATCATTGTTTTATCTCATCTAGTTTTCAATGAAGAAATTAATATTTTGTGGTATGATGTATCTGTGCTTTTATTCAAGATAAGAAATTTTCAACTAGAATAACAAAAAAATTTTGCACATTGTTATAATATAAATTATTAATAGGCGAGATATACAGACATTTCTCTTGATCCTCGGATCAAAACTTTGATTGTTTACATTTTTTTTTCTTACTTATTTTAATTTGTTTTGTTTTTATTAGATACTCCACCACCATTAAAAATTTTCCTTTTGAATTTGTAAAATTATTAAATTGTTGATATTGTAAAAGTTTTAAATTAGCTCAGTTTTTAAATAATTTAAAATTGATGTCTCTGCTTTGTTACATCTTTTCCCAAAGGTATTCTAATATTGTTGGTTTTATGTTTTAACATAATTTGTTTCTTAATTTATGTGAATTTGATTTTATTAGCATTTTAAAATAAGAATGTATTAATCTGATGTTTTAAATGTGTTAAACGTGGTTATTTATCAAAAGCATTCTAAAAATGTTGAAGCTCTGACTTCTACAAGAGATTTAACCTTACAATTTATAGATTATAAAAAATAAAAATCAATTATTCTATGTTGATTTTATGGTCTATATTACTTAAAAATAAGTTTATTTCTTTCAAATTCTAGTTAGGGAATTGAATAGTAAAATCTTCATTTTAATAGGACTGATGATAAACCATTAAAAACAATACACACATAAAAACAATAAAACAACACAGATGCTGACCTTGTAGGATCTGGTGCCATTAAACATATTAAAACAGTGCTGACAAAGGCAATCATGTCTAAAAGTTGTTCTTATAAATGATGATTAATTTGATGCTAGCATCCTCTGGTGGAAATTGAGTGACTAGAGAAAACCTTACATAATTTCACACAAACCTAGAATTATTTAATTTTTAAGTAATGACAATATTACAAGCAAGTTCATCTTTTTTAAATTCTTTTTAATTAGGTTTGTATGAAATTATTCAGTTATATTTAAGTATTTTACAGGACCAGACCAAATATTCAGCAAGCTTGGAACTGAAAGAAGTCCAAATTTCTGGATTTTCCAGTTTTCTGGACACAAGCTAAATATATACTTAAAATATAAAAATAAAGAACTAAACTGTTTTTAGCACACCATAAGCCTGCAATCACACTAGAACTGGTGTGGTGAGACATATTTGCCACAGAAAACAAAACACATAGTCACATGGAAAACTCTAAATAGTCTGTAGAATTCAAAAATAGTCATATTTGGTCCAGTACTATATTATCTAATGAATTATAAATAAGTCATTAGTAGATTATAACTTCAATTTGTAAAATCTTGGATAGAAATCCTAAAAAATATCAAAACTTTCAGAATTCATAATTATTATTAATATATTAACTGCAAATTTAGATTATTTAGAATCTTATTTTATCAATAGAAATGAAAATTATTTCTAATGTAAAAAACATCCTCTTAATTAAAATTTATCATATTACTAGTTGAAATCTATAATTTTTAAATTACAGGTTGAAATAAAGTTTAAAGATGAATGTAATAATTCCTATGGATTTGATGTTCAAATTTCAAATAAACTATATTCTTTAATAGCAGAAACTGATTGCGACATGAATAGGTGGATTGGCTACATTTGTTCTGTATGTGGATTGAAACGTCAAGTTGAAGATGGTAAAAACATTTAAATCTTACACTTTTAATTTAAATGCCTAATGAGTTTTATATTTAAAAATTTATTTCAGATACTTCATGCAATCTGCCAGATCCAATAATTACTCTGCCTGTAAGTTCCTTATCATCTCTTCCTTCTTCAGTACAAGAAAATGAATTGTCTTGTCAGAAAAAAAATTCAAGTCCGTACATTCTTATAAGTGAATGCTTCACTGGAAAACCTATACCAGATATATCTCCAAATGTAGATAAAACTAATTTATTTTCTGAAAATTCTGTGAATTGTTTTGCATCAGTAGACATTAACTATGATTATCCAAAACCACTTATTTCTCCAGAGAAACAAACTGTAAAATTTGAAAATAATTTAGATAATTGGTATCAGATACCACCAGCACCAAGAACTCTTAAAACTGATAATGACAGTAAGCTACTTTCAGATGTTGAAATAAAATCAAGTCCTGATGAAAGTTTAGGAAATGTTTTTTTTTCTGATGATGAAGCAGGCATTTGTTTTGAAAATCAAGATATTGAAAGTGTTAGAAGGGAAGCATTAGAATTGGCAAGACAGCTTGAGAGTTTAGGTTTAGATGATTCTGGTATTGAAAGTGAGCAGTCAACGTCCCCAACTTATGCATTTGAAGACTCTCAACTAAAAGATGACGAGTTTTGTGCCAATCACATACTGTCACCTCCTCCTCGCCCACCAAAACCAGCAACTTTGAATAGATTAAAAAATATTACTAGTCCAACATTTTGTACAGAACAAAATAGTCATAATTTATCTTCAAATGAAAATAAAATAAGTACAAATGTGTTTAATTCTATGATTAATTGTTCTGAAAACTATATACAAAATGATTTATCACCATCCACCAAAGTTCCTCTTCCATTACAAATAGAAAGTATGTATGATGTTCCAAAGCCAAGGAGTGAAGATAATATTACAGCATTAATAATGTCAAACTGTGATAAATCTAAAAATAACAATGATTTTCACATATATAATAATGCACCTCCAAGAGACTGCTTAAGAAAAAATTCAATTCTTGCTTATGAATATAAGCCATCATTAACTTTTTCTGAAGAATCAGAGAATATTACAGATAACTTAAGTGATATAACAAGTGAATCATTATCATCTGTTGATAAAGGAATATATAGTATTCCACCAGCTGTTGACAGAAAATTAAAACCAAGAAAATCAATTGGAGAAGGTATTAATTTAAAATTATAGTATATTTATTTATACACAGAAATATTTATAAAACTATATTTAAGCTTGGAATTTTAATAAAACCAATTTTATTCTATTGAAGTAGCTAATATATTTAATTATAATACTGAAAGGTTTAACAGCAAAAACAATTTTTAAGTTTGATTCAAAATTATTAAAATAGACTAATTTTTCTAAATGCTACTAACAGAACTGTAATTTTTATAGTAGTTTAAAAATTGTTAATTTTATATTTATTTTTTTTATGTTTAACTATCACAGCTATACATTTATTATTGATTAATCTTAAAAGTTTATAGCATTTCCGTGAAGGTTTGTAAAAGTTCATAGTTTTAAGTTTTTTTGAATTATATTGACCATTTTTGCTAAAGAATGAAAAGATGGCTTCAGTATTTCATGCTAATATTAATAGCATAGAAATGTGTTCTGCAGAAGAATCACTGCACAACAATATTACAAAATTTACATATTGTGAAAGCATCCTTCAAATCAAGACCTAATTGCAGCCAAAGGTTCTTCATCAATTTCAGAAGTTGTGAAGGCAGTAAGAAAAAAATATTAAGCACTGATATTTTCCAATGTGATTGTGATATGGTATGAGTAATCACTCCTCCAAATTAGTTGATGATGGGGAAGTGTTTTTAAATATTAATCAAATTTGTTTTTCCAGTGACATATGTAAATCTTCTTATTGTAAAAATCTGCATTTATTCAATGTGCCCACTGCAGAAATGTTCATTCTTTCACATGCTTCTAAGATAATTATCATCCACAAATTTGTGCTCCTGGAAAGCAGATTGAATGTTAATAAAAATGTCTATATTAATTTAAAGGCCAATTAATGTTAATAAAAAAAACAAAATTATCATTATTAAAAATGATAATTTTGTTATCTAATCCCTTTCTCAATAAATTATATCTAATCCCGTTCTCAATAAATTATAAATAAATGTTAATATGAATCCCATGTGTACTGTACAGTACATGAATATTCAAAAATAATTTTTAAATAAATAAAGTTGAAAATTATAATTTTAGGAAAAAAAAAATAACATTGACACCACCAAGATTTGAAACACCACCCTCACAGTTATGAAACTGGCATGCCCCTACCAATTTGCAATTTTTAACCTCAATTTTTTTGTTTAATTTTGAGTATTGTGCCTTACTGCTTGGCATATGTCAGTCATTGGGGATAACATCACTGAATTTGATCAAAATCTGTGATCTGAATGTCATGTTGTCCCTCATCAGTTACATCAAATTTGCTATCTGAAAACCATTAGTTCTGATATTAATGAATATGAGAAAATCTTAAATTTTAGACAGAGAAAATTAACTTTTAGCAATCTATGATTGAAACTTGGACAGATTTTCAAACTGGGTGGGACACAGGACGATATTGCTAAACTGGGATATATGATAATCCTAAGTATGAGCCATTTTTTAACAAATTAATGACTTGAGATAAAAGATGGATGCTCTATCAGTAGAAATATAAAATGACACTAAGCTCAGTTAGAAAAAATACCTTTATACAATAACAAAGCCATGATTAGTCATACTCTGCATTTGATGGAATATAATATGAAATGCTAAAACTCATTGAGTACATCAATACAGAAAACTAGTGCACAGCTAGAAAATTTGAGAATCAAAATTGTTCAGAAATGTCCAGCTCTCATAAATAGGCTGGATATTTTTAAAAATTTATAAATAAATGTGTCACATTTCATCAAAATAATGAAGGACAACTTGCAACAATATTGGACTAACAAGAGGTACACAAGTTAAATTTGGATGTCTTAATTCATCTACCATATTCACTTATCTAACCTAATCTCACCTGCATTAATTTCCATTTATTGAGTGCTTGCAAAATTTACTGATAGGACTTCAGAAATTTCAATGATATTGAAATGCATCTAGGTAAGTTTTTAACTAAAACTTGCCATATTCTTTTACAAGTAAGTAATCCATAAATTAGTTTTAAGATTGAAAGAGGCCATTGAACAAAATGGTCATTACATAGCTGATTCAGATAATAAAATTTACTGTTATTTCAAAGTTTTATTTCAAAAAATGCTATGAACTTTTTGAATAACACAATAAATTGAGCAAATTTATTAAATGAAAGAAATAATGAACAATTATTTTAGATTTAAAATGCATTTCATAAAATTTAAATACAGTAGAGCGTAGATTATCCGAATCAATTGGGGACTGGGGTTGTTCGGAAAATCGATACTTTGGATAACCAATTATGTACAAAAAATATATTAACCAATCCCATGTTGAAATTTTTCTCCGTTGCGTGTTGCTTTGCGTTGAATTTTCGTCGATGTTAGGCTTAACATCGACGAAAATTCAACTATATTGTCTACTATAATATAAGTATATATTGAAAATATTGTATCGTTAAAAATTATTTCTTTATTTTGTATAAACAAAATAATTATATTGAAAAATATAAAAACAATAAAAAATTATACTTCAGAAGTTAATTTAGTATCAAAAACGTAAAATATTTGAGTAGCCCAAGACATAGCCAAAGATTGCAGTGCCGCAGCACTGGCAAAAATTTAAATTTGCCAACTAGAATTCTTTCGGATAATTGATGCTCTACTGTACTTCATAAAATCAACTGTTTTGAGGAATAGAAGTTGCAAGACAAAATATGAACTATTTTGTCTACCTTTTTGAAACTAAAGTTTTATTTCTTAAGTTCAGACACTTTCAGGCTAGAGTCCATTTTTTTAGGCATCAAACAAATTGAAAGAAAATGATATTGTTGCTATGGAAATAATATGAGAGCAACTTAGAAAACACATACAAAGAATAGTTTTAATTTTTTAAAAACTTCTGATTTTTTTTTTATTTTCCATTTTATTTTGTTTAGATTTTATAAGACAAAATTTAACAAAATATATATTTAAGTTGAACAGTTATTGTGTATAATAATTCTTCATTTTAACAAATCTTATAATAATAACTTTTTCTCTTTATCAATTCTTCTTCAGTTTCTGAAGATGAACTCTAATCTAATGATCCTTGAACTATTTATTCTGTCTTGTAACTTTTATTTTTGTTGAGTAAAGCAAGTTTTTTAGTTTTGAAATCAGTTTAAATAAACAAAATTTACAAATCAAATAATAATAATGATTCACATTGCTAATATATGATAAATATCTTCAAATGCTACAATTTTAAATTGTAGGATCTAGGAGTGGACTTCTTTCTCAAGAATCTCCTAATTCAGTATCCTCTCCATCAGAAAAATTGTTTGAAGTTTTTGATTATGGACCAAATAAAGATGAAAATTTATGTAGAGAAAAGGTAAAATTTTAATTAAAATACTATAAAATGTTAATTTGTATGTAATCTAATAATCTTTTATTTATAAAAACAAATGTAAAAATCTATTAACTCAATTTTTACATTAAAGTCAAATGATTGTCAATTATATCAGGCTATACTTATTATAGCCTGGTATAATCCAACAATCATTTGGCATTAACCTTGTATTTTTCCATGATATATATTATATGAAATTTTTCAAAGATATAAATCATTATGAATTTAATTCTTTATTATCAATACAACACTTTAATGGTTTTGGTTTACTATTTTTAATTTTTTAAAAATAAATTTTAGTCATTTTTCTTATATTTTATAACTTTATTTTAATAAGAATCAATAATTAAATTATACAGTAATATCTTGTTAACATTGTTAATTATATGGGATGGTCATAAAGTTTTTCTATTCAGAGTACACTAAAACTATAACCAGTAAGTGAATTGATACCAAAATTTGTATACAGACTATGCAAAGGACGTAGAAGAAGGTTTTACAAAAAAATTTAATTCAAAAACTTTTGCTAGGATGCTTTACAGGAAAACAACAACAACAAAAAAATACAATAAAAATGCATTTATTCATTCTGAAAGTACATGCCTTCCTCAGAGGCTGTTTATGGATATAAAGAATGTTGGTCAAGTGTAAAATTTAAAGGGGTTTTTTTTTACAGTACGTTCTACAGAGTTCTCTGAATAGGGAAACTTTAATTATGCCACCTTACATTGTTAATAGTAATATGTAAATTATATAAGGGATTAAACTGTAATGAAATTAAAATTTTTTAAATAAATTTGATTGTATAGAATAAAGCTTCAGACAGTTCTGTGACAGCAAAACCAAATGAAATCCAATATTTAGATCTCAATTTGGATTCAAACATTAATAAAGAAGAAACAATTGGTGATAAAGAAAATCAAACAATCGTTTACAAAAAAGTGGATTTTCTTAGGACTGAAGCATTCAATAAGATGAGGCAGAATGTCGAAGAGACATATCGTAATTCTAATCAATAGCTTTTTTTAATCATTTGGCAGTTCCTTAAATGTTACAAGTATTTTATTAAATTTCATTGTATCAAACAAATTTTTTATGTAACATTTGTTTAACAATGAATTTTTTTTGACATTGATAAATAATTTTATAAATCTTTTCTCCACATGCAACAACAGAATTGTAAAAGAATGTTCAATTACAGTAGAACCTGGTTAACTCAAAGTCAGTTTCCCCAATTGTCTAGCATAGGGATTTACATGTTAAATCAAATTGGTTAACACAAATGGGGTTTTGATACAGCATTTTCATAATCTCTCCAGAATTTTTAATTTAAATAAAATACTTCTAAGTAGTATAGATACTGTATAATGTTGATGTACTTAAAATCACTTTAATCCTAATAGGTTGATTTTTCTCACAGCCAGACCCAGTTATTTGACAAGACTTTATCGTAGCAAACTTTTAAAGCATAATTTTACATCATATGCATTTTGTGCTAAAAACTTTATAGCCCCTCTTCAGTGCTATTAAGAACAAGGGTATAATTATATGACATGACATTGTAATCCGTTATAAAATTTTACATGATTTGCATATTTACTTACATTTATTAGAATGTAAAAATAATATGAAACTCCATTACACATTTTTTAATGTTTTTCCAGTATAAATACAGCCACATATTATTACTTCTTCATATTAAACATGAAGTATTTATAATTATAAAAACCTTAAAAATAGAAAGGGGTACAACACAAGTACATTAATAAAAAAAAGACTTTACATTACTGTTGAGAAAATTTTATATTATTTATTATATTGCATGCAATGATGCATCCTCTATTATTTGGTACCATTGCATATTGATGGTCATGCTATCTGAAATGTTAACAAGTTTATCTCTAGGATATTTTATCATCTCTACATGTTCTTTAAATTTTCTTTTATAGATATCTTTTTCTGTATGTAATATTTTTATTTTATTTCTATTTATTTGGCAATTATTACTGATTGAATGTTTATACCACAGTGAATGACTATATTTGATGTGTATTGCTGCTTCATGTTACTTAATTCTTTTTCCAATACTCTGCCTGTTTCACCTACATAAAATCTAGTACTACTACAATTACATTCAATTTTATATACATTCCTTCTTTCATAAGATAATTTTTTTGAGTCATGTTATTTTTATTATTCTTTTACATATATTTTGAGATATTTTGTTAGTCAAAGATGGGGCCAAACTAACTTTATTTTGTTTGAGATGATTATTGCATTTTTAAAAAATGTTTTGGATATAAGGAAAGGTATAATAATTTTTATCATATTTATATCTAGTATTATATCTGTTATTTAAGTATTTTGTGCCATTTAATTAATTTTAACCATGGATAATAATTATATAGTATGAATTTAGTATCTAGATTTTTTCATTCAATTTCTCTATTTTTAATATTTGATGTTCTAATATATATATTTTTTAATTCCATAATGTAAGTGTACTTTTTCATATTTTCCAGGCTACGTGAACTATAATTAATTGTTTTATCTACATTACATGTTTTTTTGTATGTTAAAAATGTAAAGCTATTAACTGTAATTCATTAATTATAGTTACATCTAAATAATCTAATTTTTTTGTTTTTTTCAATTTCTATATCAAACTGTATGTCTTCATTAATGTCATTTTATAATGTTAGCAATCTGATAAGTGAAATAAGTATTTTTATCAAAAATTATTAAGCAATCATTAGCATATCTCATACCTAGTTTTATACCTTTAATATTGTTAATTATTTCATCAATTCCAGCCGTAACTATTTTTGCTAATTTTGGCCCCATCTTTGACTCCATGCTTATAACGTCAGTTTGTCTATAAAATGCTTGTACAACCTGAAAATAATCATTATCATATGTGAATTTAATTAATTTAATCATATCATCTTCTAAATGCAAATTTAACCAAACTAATTTCTATCATATTCCATTTTATAGTAGGGTACATATTTTTAACATCTGAACTAAGTAATTTATCTGAACTTCCTTTCTTTAATTTACATATTCTATTAATTACTTCATCTGCATTTTTAATACTAAATTGTGAATATTCTATGTTCATTAATCTTTGTTTTATATACCGTTCTAAATTGTATAATGAAAATCAAGTATTGGTCCAAATTTTTCGTCGTCTGTGTTTTTAATCTAATATTTAATTTGGGTATTCTGTTATTTTTAAATTTGAGAATAAATTTCTTATCTACTTCACTTATAGTATTACTGGTATACATTTCATTAATTTTTTTGGTTAAATTCTTTTTAATTTCATTATATGGATTATTATTATTCAATTTAATGTATTTATTATTTACTTGTTCTATAGTTTTTTTAATTAAATTATTATCTATTAATTATTAACTGTTTAGTTTTATCTGCTTTAATTATTGACAAGTTCTTTAAGATAATTTAAATAAAATAATTAACATTCATTTATCAAATAAACTAAGCAGAAACTTTTTATAAAGTTCAGGAACCACATATAACTATAAAAAATAAACATTGTGTTGTGATGGTGAGTTGGGGTGGTGGCTTTCAGACAACATTTGACCTAGACACCAACAAATCAGCTTTTTTAATTATTATTATTATTTGATTGCTGATGGATTTCTCCAACTAGTTGATATAATAAATTGATTTTTAGTAAATTAATTTTTTTAAAAATTGATTAAAATTTTTACATAGAATTAACTGTAATGTTTGTTATATTTTTAAAATTTTGCCATAATCATAGTGGTTTGTTTGTGAGAAAAAATAAAAAAACAAAAATTCTAGGCACGAAATAGTGCAATTTTAAAAAATTCTTATGAAATACTTAGGAATGAGTTGATCATACATTTGAGAAAGCATTTCTCAATAGCTTATTTAACCATTCAGTTAAGCTTTTTCAAGTTTCTAGATGCCAAGAGGTTTACATTGACACAATGATTCTACATAATAAGACCCACAGAAATATCATATAGATAGTTTATTATGGGTCACCAATAAACCAATGCACAAAATTTTGATTTTTAGCCAAACCTCCATAACTCAAAACTTTTTTAGCTGTAAGAATTTTTTTCCTTTGACTGATTAGAGTTAACCAGGTTCCATTGTTTTTTGCCTTTTTTAATTTTAGAAATTGAGCTAAAAAACTTATGAATTATTGTAAAATTAAATATTTAAACTGGTTTAAGATTGTTTTGTATGAAAATACTTTGTTGTTGTTTTTGTCATCTAAATTTTATAAATTTTTTTCTTTAAATACTTTTTATATTGAATGAATAAAAAAGAAAATATTCTATTAAATAATGTTTAATGAAAACATTTCAGGGTTTCATCCAGAAATATACTGTATTTCAATGTGTTGTTTAATTTTCTGAATAGATCCAATTATTATTATATTTGATAATGAAGAAACTTTGATTTATGTCTGTATGTAATATACAAATTTACAATGTGCAAACAAACTCATCTTTTTTCTTTTTGTCTCTAATAATTTTATTAAATCAGTAAATTAAAGGGTTTACAAAAAATATCATTTATTTAACACTTGAAAATTGACAAGTGAAATTAATAAGTAATAAGCTAAATACTTCATTAATAATATTAGATTTCCACTTTAAAATCACTTGTTCTACAATTTTCTGGACATATAATGCTAATAAAAAGTTTATACCAGTTACAGTATATGTTGTTTAAATAACAGCACTTAATAAGTTTCTTGTTATTTTAACAGTATTATGTAGTTCAAAGTTTATTTCCATGAATAAAAACACAGTCCATGGGAAGTAGATTTTGAAAACAGCTCATTCCCCCCCCCCAGAAAATGTATACATTATAAAATTCAAGATTATTGTCATTCAGAATTTTTTACATCATAAAATATTACGATTTATTATTTTTAATAAAATGAAATTTATTCTGTTAAGTTTACAATAATTATGGTATCTTTTGTTATGTATATATGGTATGATTTTTCCCCTCTTTTCTATTTATGTATTAACAATACATCTAATCAATCAAAAATTCCATTGTTTTAAAAAATTCTTTTACTAAAATTTCTTAATTTTCAATAATTTCATATATGTGGACTATATATTAATTGTATGTACTGTACATAATTATTTAATAATTATGAATTTTAACATAAAATAATTTGGTTATGGAATTTAAAATTTCAGAAATCTTTTTGATTAAATAAACTAAATGTCATGCTGAAAAATTAGAATATTTAAAATACACAAGTTTTTATTGGAAGAAAACATTATTTGAACAAATTTAAAAATTAATTTCTATAAATGTTTCAGTATATCTTTTATTCTTGTATGTCTCTCGATGATGGAAAAAAGTAAAATTAGGAAAAAGGTAANGGGTATTCAAGTTAGAGTGGTTGGATCCATCATGTTGGTAGAAAAGGTGTTATCAAGATTAGATTTTTTAAAGCCAGTGGTCCAATATATCAGGTCAGTCCACAAGTCTAATGTGATACTTTTTACACTGAAGTGTTAAATTGAATCTCATTCATATAATACTGTTCAGAATTGGGAACATTTCAGTTGTTTATTTTCGTTAAAATGGAAGTAACAGATAAAAATAAAAAGTATAAAACACTTAAATTTTATATTATTCAGTGTTTGCTTTCTCATTAGATCTTAAATGACATTATTCAAGATTCCAAAATCAATTATTGGAAAATAATGGTTAGTATCAACTATAAACTGTTAAAACATATTATATTGTTTCATTTTCTGTTATAAAACATTTATTCTCATTATTTAACATTACCATCCAAATCAAGGATGGACCACGTTTAAAACTTTTGAACTGATGCTGTCTGCACAACAAAATGAAAAAATAAAAAGATAGCCTATGAATAAATAATTGTGATTTACCATATCATCATAAATTAACATATTAGTCACTACTAATTTTAAATTAGTTTTGATGTGGCTCTGTTAGCTGATTTCTTGTTTTACTTTTTACGAAATTCATTATGGAAAAAACTGTTCACATACACAAGTTGTAGTAAATAACAATAGAATTTTTGCTGCATACTTCAATAAGGTGGGAAATTGATATACTTATATTTTGTGTGATGCAAACCATGGGTTGTCCAACCCCTGATCTAAATAAAAACTTTGTAGTAGAAAATCTTTTTGATTTAATTTTAAATATTAATACCTTCAAACTTAAAACTTTGTTTAGCATTAGTGGGCATTCTTCCTTTTCACTAGGCTAGTGATTTTCATCCAAGGTACTGCAAAGTATGGTTATTTTGCAGCACCACCATTTACATTTTAATAAAAGTTGTAATTACATATGTAATAACTTTATTGTATATTTATTATAATTTTGATCATTTTATTGAAAATACTGTATACAGTTTAAGCTAATTAATTAATATATATTATGAATATCTTTATATATATATATATATATAAATGGACGTGTGTGTCCCTATATTTCATTTTTCAGCCAAAACTACACATCGCACATGACTGGTGTTTGTATGTGGTAGTAGCCCCAAGTCTCCATTCGTGCACTATTATGGTTGTGTCTCAACCCCATATCTCCCGCACCCTTATAGCTATTGAAAGTGGTTGACTTCGAAGATGTGTAACAATGAAAGTGTCAACAATGGAAGTGTTAATATAAAGCGTCATTCAAGATTTACGGGCAGTTTTTTGTGTTTTTGCGGGTCCTTGCAGCTAGATTCTAGATTACTTAGAAAAACAGTCTTTTATATATAAAAAAAACTATATTACATACAAATAAAAACCCAGCAAAACGGGTCCTTGCAGCTAGTAAGGCATATAAAGAAGTAAGAGTGATATTGTCACCCCACTTTACTTATATTAGAAATGTTGAAAAACACTGCATTAGGCTATTAAATCAGATTCAAATTTGTATTTTAATAACAAAAACATACATAAAGAATTAAACCGAGTGTTTGGTAAAAAATGGACTATACAAGTTGATGAAGCAGAAATGCTGCCCAACATAGCATAAAATAAAGGGTTTCTGTTATTTTTATTCAATATTATGTGGAAAGTTTTGAATGATAAGAATTGCTTAAGGCATTAATGCACAATTGTCAGAGAGAAGGATCTTTTTTCTGTGTGTCTAAAGTATGATGCTATGTACTGTGGAAAAAACAGGCTTATGAAAAAGTTTACATTTTACTTTTCTGGTTCTGATATATATAAC